CAGGTAGAACCCCTGCACAATCGGGTGGAACTGGGCAGTCGCGGCCTTGATGACCTCCTGGCCGTTAACGCCGCGGAAAGAGGGCAGCCATCGGAGAGAGAACCGCGCAGGCGCCGCGCGAGAGCAGCCGGACCTGTCCGCTCGGGCTGGGGTGGTCGAGCTGCTTCACCTTGGCGTCGGCGGGCACGGTGTAGTAGAAGGCGCGTGCCAACTCGACTAGCTCCTGTGGCTGAGGGTGGTGTGCCGGCTGGAGCAGCAAGGCGTCCTCCTCGATCCTGTACCGTGTGTGTTATGACCCCCCCCGATGAACACACCAGTGAGGGAGGGCGAGACGATCGCGAGGGGTCCCGTACCATGCGGAATCGACCCTATCCAGTGCTCAAGTGCTCAAGCTACAAGAGGAGCTTGTTCAGCAGGATCAGGGTGGGCCGAGCAGAGTTCCTCACTTCCTCAATGGGTGAGCATTCTTACTATTCTTGGTGAAATCCCTGACCCTGTGTGGTGGCGGCGTGCCGTCGCCTCCCATCCCCTCCCTTTTGGTTTTGCCGCTGTTTTCTTTCTTTCTTTCTTTCTTAGGTGACTTAAAATCCCTGTGCGAGCTGTGTGGTGGCGGCGTACCGTCCTCCCATCCGGTCCGTCTGTTTTCTTTCTTTTCGAGTAGGTGTACACACACGCATCAGATCGTCAAGGTCCGCAGCGCCCGGATTCTGCCGGAACGGGCAGACAACTCGTGTTAGCGCACCTTTGTCGCTCGGGAGACGCGGTGGATGCACGAGTCCACCATGCCGGCGACGGTGAAGACGCCGCCTGCGGGGTGCACAGCCGGGGTCGCGGCGGGAGGCCGACCAGACGAGACGCGCGGGATTTTCGCTGGGTGGCGGATCGTGGGGCGCCAGTAAGTTGGTGGCTGCGCGTGCGACGGTGATGGCGCAGAGGTTGGTGTCTATCTCGGACCGATCTCGGTAGATCTCGGCTGGCGCGCCGATGATGGCGCAGAGGCCGGTTAGGAAGGAGGAGAGGGAGCGGCGCCCCTCGGCGAAGCGCGCCATGATGGGCGAGATCTCGTAGTGGAAGTAGACGGCGGGCATCTTGTCCACCTGTCCACGGCCGGGGGCGTGGAGAGACGCTGTTCACAGGGCTCGTCGCGGAAGCAGCGCCTTGCCCACCTCCTCCGTCGTGCGGAAGAGCTCCTACGGTTGCGAGGGCACCAGGGTGAGGACCAGGGCGAGGGCTTGGACACAAGCATCGCGCAGCCGACTCGGAGCACACACGGGCTGCGAATACAGCGGAAGGCTTGCGTGGTGGCACTACATCTCAATGCAGCCGGACACAGCCGAATGCGTCACGCGCCGGTGCTCTGCATCTAGGGGCGCAGCTCCGTGTACGAGTACTGGTTCGTCCGGAGCACGGGCCCGCGCAGCGGCTCGTAGACCTGCGAGTGTGAGCCCGCGCCAGAGGTCAGGGCGGGGGTAGAGACTTCGTGCAGAGCCCTCCGAGCATCGCGTGCAGGCGAGGGCCACGAGTACAGCCGAATGCGGCTCAGAGTACAGCGGGGAATGCGTGTCCTCTAGAGTGCCAGTCGGATCACGAGGGTCTGCAGCCCGCATCTACGGCCGCGGACCGTTGGCACGATCTTGAGGTAGTACTGGAAGAAGCCCGACCCGTCGCCGAGCCGCTTCTCGCTGCCGTCCAGCGGGTTGACCTAGCAGAAGGGGGTCCCTTCAGACTCATGATCGACTCTCGCTGCCGTCGCGGGCTGGCCTAAGGTGCGACACCGCCCCGCTGTCCTGTCGTGCCTGTGTGGCTGTGCCTCGCTGCGCTGTCTCCCCGCCACCAGCACCTCTGACAGCACCTCTGACAGCGCCTCTGGGGCGCCTCTTGAGAAGCGCCGGTGTCGCCCGTCCTGCTGGCAGTGTCTCTCCCTTCCATCTATCTGGCTGGCCATCCCCGGGAAGGGCTCTCCAAACGAGACCTGTTCATGACAGGAGCAGGCGTGACGAGAGGCGGAGGCGGAGAGGGAAGTGCTGCGAGCCGACGCACCGAGTGCACAGAGTGGGAAGTGTCTAGGAAGTGTCTAGGAAGTGTCTAGGAAGTGTCTAGCCGACGCACCGAGTGCACAGAGTGGGAGACGTTGAGCTTGTCGCGCGACCCGAAGACGGCCATCAGCGTCGCGTGCTCCTGTGAACGGCTGCAGGTGTGAAGAGACGCCGTTCCCGGCGAGAGCTGCGGACCCGACGCGTGCGCCTCGTGCGTGAGGGCAAAGTGAAAGTTGCCCGCCACCCGGTTCACCACCTAGATGACCACAGGAGTGGCGGTGCGACCACCGTGGAGCGAGAGTGTCCCGCGGCACGGCTCATCACCATGTGGCCCTCGATGTGGCACCCCTCCCCCACGTGCGCGCGCAGCTCGTCGATCGCCGCCTAGCCAGGACGAGTCCATGTGGCCAAGGCTTCCCGAGCCCTCTTCCGGCGGCTGTGCGCGCGTGCCTTATCCTCCAGCACGTGCGGCTGCAGCAGCTGCATCAGCGCCGAGAGCATCAGGTCGTTGCGGTTCAGCTGCAGCAGCGCGGGGCCAAGGCCCCGCTGCGCGCCGCCGCCCGCGCCGGAGAGCAGCGCGCGGCCAGGCCGGCCGTCGCCCGCGCGCGGCCCATCCTCCAGCGACCGCCCAGCCTTGTCGAGCCGCGTCTTTGAGATGTGCCGCATCAGGTCGGGCGCGTGGTTGCCCGAGATGTCGAGGGTGTCGAGGGTGATGGTGGAGCAGGGAAGCGCTGGGAATGAGATGTTGAGGTTGATCCGCAGCGTCGAGCCCCGCGACGTGTCGACGAAGAGGTGGTCGTCGCTCGTGCCGCGCAAAAAGTCGGCGACCTCGACGCAGGTGAGCAGCGCGATGAGGGTGGCGCACGAGAGTGAGACGATGGCGCCCGAGGTCGTACGCTGACGGAACTCCTTGAGCGTCTTTGGGTAGACGTCGAGCGAGGAGAAGCGCATGTTTGTGGGGCAGCAGCGCGAGCGGCTCCGCTGTTCAGAAAATAAAAATGTCCCATCTCCCCACCTCTTTCCCGCCTGGGCGGGGCGGTGGGCGGGCGCGCGGTGCGGCGCGGCGTGTGCGTGTGTGCGTCTGCAACGAAGGACCGCTCGCAGAGGACCATTGGGTTTGTACTATTAACAACGAAGGCGCTCTCAAAAAAAATAAAAATTGGCGGGCTTCCGGGAATCGGACCGCCGCAAGCGGCGTGGCGTGGGGCGTTGGAGGCTAGGACGCAAGCGTCCGTCGCCCTTTTCAAACTCGGGGCCCACTCCGCTACGCTCCGACCCGATTTTTGAGGGCCATGAATTTTAAGGTGTTGCTGCGCAAAAGGGGCGGGGCGCGCGCGCGCGGGCGCGCGCAGCGCGCCGAGAGCTCCTTTTGGAGATCAGACCTTTCGATGGTTCATGCTTTCTATGTCTATCTATCATGCTTCATGACACGACACGCGGTGGTGGGAGCTGGTGGAGCTGTCAGCTGATCGATCCAAGCGGGTGGGGAGTGGGGGGCATGGCTGGGCATGCAGGTCCGCCAGTCGGCCCGGCCTCTGACGTGGTGCTGCCGCTGCATTCGCTGAAGAAGAGAGGTGCGACTTGATTGGAGGCACTGGAGGCGAGGGTGGGGAAGGGGGAAGGTTGGGCCGGGCCGTGAGGCTGATGGCGCTGGCCAGAGCGGCCGCACACTGCTCGGTACCCCCCCTGCACACCTAAGCCCATGGCCGACCCCCCGCGCGCGCGCATGGCAGGCCGAGCAGCCAGGCTCGTACGCCAGCCACGCCCAGGCGCGGCCGCAGCTAACCGTCTGGTACTCCGGCCCAGCCGCGCGGGCCCCAGAGCTGCCGATCGAGATCCTGCTCACTGAGCTGAAGGCCGCCGCCGACCGAAAAAGAAATCCATACTGGTACTCCCCGGGGTCCCCTACCCCCGCACTGGCTGTGAACAGTCCCCGAACCCATACTGTGACCTGGTAGCATATACTGAACCCCGATGTCGCGATGCGGTCCCGCTTTTCCACATCCATTTCGTCCGTCCAATCGAAGGAAGCGCCGGATCGCCTCGGATCGCCCATGTTATGGAGTTAGCCAAACTTGCCCCGACGTACTTCGTCTCAGCTATTTATTCAATGTATGTGGCTCTTACGTACATTCCCGGAGGAGGACTGCTGACAGGGTTTGCGATGAGGAGTGACCCGAAGGGTTTCTTGGGGTTAGTGCACCACTAACCGCCTCTGCATTATTTGGTCGTGTGGGTGTGTATTCCGGGATTAGTCAATGGTACCGCGTCGGCGACCGGGCGCCTTGCGGGCAGAGCCCTTAGCCACCTTTTCTTGCGCCTCATGAACCATCGATTAAAAGAAAAACTCCTGGCCGCAACACTCTAAAGAGGGCACTACCTGTGTCCTTCGCACTGTGGTTGCTGCAGCCGATGCCATGCAGGTTTTTCTCGGCCTCTGCCTTTGGCGGGTCTCTGGCGGTCGCTGTATGCACAGCACTGGTCCATCTGGCCAGAGCGCAGTCCGCCAAGGATGGCGCACCGACCCAGGGCGTGATCTGGCTGTCCAGTCCCGGCGACTGCATACTTGCCGCCGGTACACACTCGCGCGTCACGTGGGGGGCTGAGACGCTCCCAAAGTGCCAGGAGATTTGCGAGAAAGACCGGAAGTGTTGGGCCGTCGACTTCAGCACGTACAACTCGTACCCGCGCTGCAAGCTGCTCATCGCGCCGCCCGCTGGCGCCACGCCAAAGCAATCCGGAATTAGCGAAGCGACCTGCTCCATAAAGGCGTCGCAGCTTTCGCGCTACGCATTCAACGGCGAGCGAGCCTCTCTGCTCAAAGCTACATACACTGACCCTCTGAGCCACCCTCTCCGACGGCCGCCAGGTCGGCTGGGCTCCGGAGCTATGGGGTCACACACGCCCGTTGCGCGGTGCATGGCGACCTTCAACATGCAGGCGGGCGACTACAATGTGTGCTCGCCTCTGTAGTCGTATAGTGCCTGTAGCGCACGCACGCACGCACACACGCACACACACGCACACACACGCACACACACGCACACACACACATAGGCAAGCAGGCAGGCCCATTGCCCATGACTTTGTTGCCTGTTCCCTCAGGGCTGCGATTTCCAAGGCCTGAAGATGAGCGGGACGGATTTCAGCAAGGCGAGCGGCGTCGGCGCCACCTTTTCCTTCGCGACGCTCCTTGGCTTCCAGGAGAGTGAGAAGCAAGGCCGAGATGTGGCCGAGATGCAGCCGAGATGCGGCACAGATGCGGCACAGATGCGGCACAGATGCGGCACAGATGCGGCACAGATGCGGCACAGATGCGGCACAGATGCGGCACAGATGCGGCACAGATGCGGCACAGATGCCCGAGTGCAGCCGACGCAGCGGTCCGTCTCGCACGCGACGCACACGCGGTCCTCGCCAGGGCCTCCGGGGTCTGGCCCCACCACTCGTGCGTGTCGAGAAGTGTTCCTGGCCTGACACTGCGCACTCCGCGCCAGGCCCGCGAGTCGAACCTGCGCGGCGCGATGTTCGAGCGGACAGAAGCGCAAAAGTCCAAGTTTGACTTCGCAGACATGAGCGACTCGATGTGCATCGGCGCGCATCCCTCTCTGCGCATCCGCGCGACGCACCCCCAACAGACACACGCCGTCACGCCCCCGTCATGTCCCCGTCATGTCCCCGTCATGTCCCCGTCATGTGCACCCGACACACGTCATGTCCCCGGCACGTCGTGCCCGACGCCCCGGCGCGGCGCTATCCCGAGGTGCGAGGTGCACCCGAGGTTAGGCGCCAACTTCCGCGATGCGTCGATGGAAGGGGTGACGCTCACGAACGCCAAGCTGGCGGACGCCCATCTCGACGGGGCCGTCCTCACAAAGGCCCTACGCTCTCCCTCCCCCAGCCCATCCTCCCACCTCACTACGGCCCACCTCACACCCCCACGTGGCAACAGCTCGCGAGGTGTCTGATGCGCTGTCCTCACCCACTCGGCCACTGCAGGCGAGCTTGCAAAACGTCGACGGAGAAAAGGCGTCGTGACCCGCGCTGGGCCATCACCCTCCCGACGCCGCGCCAGAGACTGCCCCTTTGCCGTCTCTCCCACAGGCGTCCTTCCGCAACGCAGACATGACCGGCGCGGACTTGCGCGGGGCCAGGTTCACCTCTGCGAGCTTTGAAGGCCGCGCGCGTTGTCTCCTCCCGCTGCATCCTCTCCTCCCTGCGCTCTCTCCCCTTCTCTCTCTCTCTCTCCCTCTCTCTCTCCCTCTCCCTCTCCCTCTCCCTCTCCCTCTCCCTCCCTCTCTCTCTCTCTCTCTCCCTCTCCCTCTCCCTCCCTCCCTCTCTCTCTCTCCCTCTCCCACTCCCTCCCCCCCTCCCTCTCTCCTCTCCCTCCCTCCCTATCCCCTCCCTCTGCTCTCTCTCTTCTCCTCCTCCTCCTCCTCTGTCCCTCACGCCTCTAGTGTGAGGGAGATCAGGCGCCATCCTCTTCGAGGCGGACGTCACTGGCGCGAGCTTCAAGGACGCCGACGTCACCGGCACCGTCTGGGGCTTTGTCACCGGCTTCGACACAGTGGACTTCACGGGCGCGAAGGGTGCGCCCTCGCCGGATGCGGTGGCGTGCACGCAGAAGGCCGCGCCGTGTAACCCGTTTGGATGAGCGCGAGCTGCAACGAGAAGGGGGTTCGTCAATTGAACCGGCGTTTATGGCTTTAGCCTTTACAGTATGGGGGGGGGGGGGGGGCGGGGGGGGGGGCGAGGCTGGGCGGCCGGGGGCTACGAGCACGTGTAAAGTGCATGCACATGCACATGCACATGTTGTATGTTGTACATGCACATGCAGCACATATAGGTCATAGCACAATAGCAGATTTACAACATTGAATCCACTCACACACATGAATTTGAATACGAAAAATCGAAAGCGGAGAAAGGCTCGCGGGAGCCGAGAGTGGGGTGTCTGGAGCGTGGCGAGGGAGACTGTACAAAGGGGCCCCCGTATGCTTACTAGCTTACACGGCTTTATTTAAGTTTGCATACACACCCAGGTCACAGTAAAGTATCTATAGCGCGGGAGACGTTTTCGTAGAGTAGTGTTCGTACCGGAATCCGGATTCGTAAAGAGCCGTACACCGTGGGAACCACAGAGAGTCTAGAGAGAGTAGACAGACTAGAGTATATATGTACACTCTCGTACACCCCTGTGCTACGGCTATCTTACGCCGGGCTTACCCTATTAACGCGTCACGCCGCGTCCCGCGACACCCACGCGCACCGGGCCTTGCACTTTAAATGCCGTGGGGCTCCTGTCGTTAGACGTGGAGACGCGAGGGTTGCCCCCCTTGCCCCACCACCTCGTGTGTGTGGAGAAGTTTACCTTACCTTACCTCCCGCGACATACTGTGTAGCGCACACAAAAAACTCTACTGTGTACCGACTACGAGTGCATCATCTCTATACGCACACATCAAAATAGGGTTCGTGCCAGCTACGCTACTGCGACACCGAGCTGTCGTTTTCACCTGAATTTTGAGTTCACTGTTTGCATGTGCATGTGCATGTCGCTCCGCACACGGAGAGCGCGGAGCCGGAGCGGCATCACCAGCACCCACCTCAGGTTCGAACCTCTCGGCAGGCGACAGCAGGTGCATGTGCTGGTCACATTCGACCCCATGAGATGTCGACCTTCTTGGGCAGCAGCCGCGTGAAGTTGCGCTTGGCGAACTGCGCATACTGGGAGTGCGCTATCCTAGGAGTCGTGCACTGAGAGCTGCGCGTGATCCGGATCACGTCGTTCTTGGCATAGACGCCGCCGGTAAACCCAGTGGTGCCTGGGCGAGTGGCGGAGGTGTTCAGAGGCGTCAACTCGAGCAGGGCGGGAGTAGACAGACAACGGAAGAGCGTTGCGAGGCAGGCGAGGCAGACGGAGGTGGCTCAGAGATGTGTCGCACACCGTGCATACACTCAAAGCAGAGGAGAAAATCGACGTGGGTGGGTGGGAGCTGCTGCAAGCGGAGCATCCGGTCGACAAAATTGAGCATGTGCTCGGCAAACCGCCGGCTGATCAGGTAGCACTTAGTTGACGCGACAGGGTCCCGCATCCGGACGATCCACGGCGCAATCCACGCCTACAAGTACAAGTGCAGAGCTAGATGCGGCGTTTTGCGCAAGTGCTCTCAGCATCTTCAGTCGGGCACTTGCAGGTGCCTTTGCGGGTGGTCCTTGGGTGCGCACACGACAAACCAGTTATGGACCGCGAGGTAGTCGATACCTGCAAGACCGTGTGTCACGCATCACATATGAAGCCGCGAGGCTTATGCCTCGAGGAACTGGCGGTGTGCCGTGCGTGAGGCAGCTCCGATGCAAGGCTTGCAGGATGCCGAGGTCCTCCACGACTGCGTTGTTCTCAAGCACGACCCCATAGGCCTCTGGCCGCCGCACCACCTGCTCCCACGCGTTGCGGTGCGCGAGCAGACAGCCAAGGGCGCCGCCATAGCAATACTCAAAGTGGTTCTGGCGCGCGCCCTTGGTCAGGAGGTACTTGCCGTACCTAAATGTGCCACCGGCAGTGCTCGTGTGCTTGTGGAAGCTGTCGGCCGCCCTTCCCCGACAGAGGCTCACGAGGACAGGCCGTTCACGGCCTCCTCATCCGGGATGACAGGCGCAATGCAGATCTGGCGCACGCTCCTTGGCACACGCTCGAGCCTCGCGTCGGAAGAAATTATATATACTGTCGGGAAGATGTCGGGATCGGAATCTTCGATCTTGGCGCCGCTCGAGCGGAGGTCCACATTCTCCTTGTCTGCCGCCTTTGCCGGCATGAGCTGCCTGCTCGTGCTCGGCGCCGCCGCCGCTGGCTGAACCGCCGCCACCTTCGTCCGGCAGGGGTATCAGTGGTGAGGGAGGGGCTGCCAGGTGCTGGGAGGCTGAGAAGGAGAGGGAGGAGGAGAGGAGGCATCGGCGGTCTCACTGCCTTGAGGTCTTCAGCCCATCCCGACTGGATGGGCGGCGGAGCGGCTGGCCGGTCGCCGACCGGGCTCTGCCGAGTTGGCTTTGCTCTGCGAGAGCTGGCTCGGAAGCTCCTCTGGTCGGAATTGTCGGACGCGCGTGGGGGCATATGTGTGTGTGTATATCGCACGGAGGGGAAAACGGCGGCGTGGATGGATGAAACGCACTTGTGTAAAGAATTTTCTATTTTACAACGAAGCTCCCACGTCGTGGGACTGGCGCGCACTGGCACTAGCACTAGAGAAAGAATTTTGCACTCGCTAAGAAGGCAGGTACACCACGTAAGAAAGAAAACAAAAACAACGCAGGCTTTAAACGGATGAAACGCGCCTGCCACTGCCCCGAACTGCGAACACCTCATGAGGTTGCAATCTCGGATGACAGACCAACGTGTGCACGTGCACGTGCACGGCGCTTTGGCACGCCGCGTTGCGGAGCGAGGCGTGCCGCGTTGTGGAACGAGGCGCGTGTGCTGCTGGGTGCCGCGGCTCTGCCAGTTGAGAGGGCCCGGCGGCAATTTAGGTGTTTGTTCTCAGTGTGTGTGGCTGACTCGCTCCTACCACGTACGTACTGTGGTGGGGATGTGTCTATGCCGTATGCGGCGACTGACGAGGGCAAAAAGGCAAGCCCCGCCCCTGGCCACTGTTATAGAGATGATTGTGGGTTTATTGCGCTCGATAGATGAAATAGGTAAATAAGAGGGCTCCCGCGGCGATCAACACCGCAACTCCTTTTCTAAATTTCACCACTCTTCTTTCACACTTTTACTCACCCTCGGACATGCTTGCACCGTCATCCTGCGCGTCTGATGCGTCGCGCATCTGCTCGTCACCCTCTCCGTCACTCGCGTCGGCGGGCGACCGGGCTGTGGGTGCGGCCTGCTTCTTTCTTGCGCTCGCGGCGCCGGCGCCACGGCGCCGTTTGCGTCCGTCCTTTGCGCTTCGCTTGGCAAGCTCGCCCGCAAAGTACGCCGCGCGCGCGGCATCCCAGACGCCCTCCCCGTCGGCGTAGCCCGCCTCCCAGATGGCGAGCACGGGGTTGTGCTTCGCACGCAGCGCTGCAGCAGCGCCGCCGTCTCGTCCTCGGGCCGCTCCAGGTCCATGACGACGTTCGTCGAGGCGTGGAAGCGCGTCTCCAGGTCGATGGCCGCCTGCTCGGCCGCGGCGAGCTTGCCCTGGTCGACGCACATGCCGCACACCGCGTGCGCCGGGCAGCCGCACTGGCCGCGTTGTGGGCGCACGGTCTTGGCGACCGCCGGCGCTGCGCGCCGGTCGTGCTGCTCACGCTGCCGGCGGCGCTGGTCGCGCGCCTGCCGATCGCGCGTGTTCGCGGCGGCTGCATCTCTTGCTCGTTTCGCTCGCACCCGAGCGGCTGTCGCCAGGCGCTTCAGGTCGGCGGTGCTGCGCGCGCGGCCGTCGGCCAGGCACAGCCACATGTCCTCCTCCTCGGCAGGCTCGCACGGCTTGCCGTCGAACTGCGGCTGGCGCCCGCGACGATGCTTCGCCCAGGCCGGGCACGATGGTGCCGCGACGAGCGGCGTCGAGGCGACGGCCATCGATGGGTCCAGAAGACTTGGAGACACTTCTCGACCAAAAAATCGAGCACAATTGCGTTACATGGGCATGGCCGGGGTTTCTGCACCGAACGATCTTACTTTCGGTCTATCGAAAGTGTTGATCGATAAAGAAAAATCTCGCGCGCTCGCGCGCCATGTTGGGAGGGCTCTATCCCTGCTCGAACCTGTTCTGTGCGCCGCCGGACGTGGTGGAGGCCATCTACTTTGTCGTCCTCTTTTGCGCCAACGTCTGCAACTGCCTCACAGCCTTTGCCTCGATCTACCTCATCCTGCGGCGGGCTCTGCGCGAGCTGCCGCCGCGCGACCCGACGGCCTGCAGCGGGCCGGTCTCGGTGATCGTGCCCTGCTACCTTCCCAACGAGCAGCACATCATCGTCGCGACGGTGGAGCACATTGTGAACCGGCTCGAGTGGCCTGGCCGCATGACTTTGTACGTGGTGTACAACTCGCCGCACGCGCTGCCAGAGGCGGAGGCGGCGCTGCGCGCGCTCGAGGGCCGCGCGTACGCCGGCGGCCGCTCCGTCCGCGTCATCGAGGCGGTCGGCTCCAAGTCCAAGGCGGAGACGCATAGTGTGTCTCGGCGGAGTTGGCACGAGGCCACCCGAGATGAGCCGCGGCGCCCCGAGGGTAGGCGGAGAACCTGAACGTGTGCCTGGGCGGAGTGGGCGACGCGCACGTGGCGCTGTACGACGCGGACCACCGGCCGGAGCCGGGCTCGCTGGTGGCGATGATGCACCACCTCTGTCTGCGCAAGTGCCACGTGGTGCAAGGCTCCACCTACATCAGGCGCACCGAGGGGCTGCTCGCGAGGTGAGCCTCGCCGAGAGGGGACGAGATTAGCCGAGATTGCGTCGAGGCGCGCCGATCTTGAGCCAGCCGAGACTCGCCGGACACACACCCCGGCACACTGCTCTCGCCAGGGCGGTCGACGCCGAGTTCTTTGTCACACATTTTGTCTACTTTCCGGCGATGGAGGCGCTGGCGGGGACGGGGTACTTCGGCGGCTCCAACGCGCTGTGGCAGGCGTCGGTGCTGCGCGAGTACGGGTTCCACCGCTCCATGCACTGCGAGGATGTCGACCTGTCGGCGCCTCATCCTCGTCGAGGGGATCCTGCTGGTAGTAGTTCATTAAGTACTTGTTAGCTCATCAACAGGCGCGCATCATCCTCGACGGCCACCGGATCCGCTTCTGCCCGACGGCGCGCTCGGGCGAGCTCGCGCCCGCAGGCGCGGCCGCGCTCATGTCGCAGCGGCTGCGCTGGTTCATCGGCTGGGAGCAGTGCACCGCAAAGTACTGGCTGCCTCTCTTCCGCTCGCCGCTGCCGCCGCTGCGCAAGCTCGGCTTCATTTACATGTTCCACTTCCGGTGGGCGCTGCTCGTCTCGGCCTTCCTCGGCGCGGTTGTCAACCCGATCCTCATGTCGCCCTTCGCGTACCCGCTCTGGACGTGGTCGACGCCGGTGCGGTACTGCACGTACATCACGCTCCTCTTCTACTCCTTCGTCGCAGCCTACTCGGTCTGCTCGTGCGTCTGGCACGAGCGGTACCGCCCCTTCTCGTGGGTCGGTGTCGCGCTCTTCTACGCCCTCGGCTGGCTCTACATCGGCTGGCACGCACTCCATAGATGCGCGGCGCGGACCCCGCCTCCTCCAGCCCCGCTCTCGAGCCGACGCGTACTCGGCGGGGGTCAGCATCCGGACGTAGCCGTAACCCTGTAGTCACGCGACGCGCTCTGAAGACGCTGCCGGGATCCGTATTCCCGCCTTGACTTCCTGGCGTGCTCCTGACGCAGGCACGCGACGCTGCAGAGCATAGCCCTGGCGCGTGTGCGGCGCGCCGCCCTCCCTGCCGTGGCAATCTCGCGACAATCTCGCGCGGCCTCCTGTAGGCGCGCGTGGTGCGCGGCAACGTCGGCGAGTGGAAGGCCCGTACCCTCCCTCCCCCCCCTCCCCTCCGTCACGCCCAGCCCCTCCACTCCACGCCCGGCTACTCCCTCCACCCTCTTCCTCCACCTCCTCCTCCTCCTCCTCCTCCTCCTCCTCCTCCACCACCACCACCACCACCACCACCACCACCACCTCCTCCTCCTCCTCCTCCTCCTCCTCCTCCTCCTCCTCCTCCACCTCAGGTCACGCGGCGAACTGTCGACTCGACCGACGGGCTCGGTAAGCCGAGACTAGCCGAGATTAGCCGAGATATGACCAATGGCTTCGACGCCGCCGGCGTTTGCTGCATCGCTTGCTGCTCCACTCCTCTGCTGCTGCTCGTAGGCAAGCCTCTGCTGCCAAATGGCGGTGCCGTCGCCGTCCCCATCTCGGCAGGGCGCTGAGGGTGGGGGGTGCGGGGGTGCGGGGCGTTGGCGTGCGTAGCGTGCGGCCACCGCTGCGGCGAGGCTGCCAGACTTAGCGATTAGATATTCGCGACCTCCAATCCCTCCCCCCTCCCTGCCCCGCCCAGCATCGTCCGCAGGGGGGCACACTTAGAGATCTACAGAGCATGGTACGACGGCGCGGGCATCACCGCCCGACAGGAGCACGTTTGTGCGCGGGAGGCTGCACTCTCTGGTAGAGAGGGAGGGATTCGCCTCACCCATCAGCCGTCCGCGAGTAGAGCCCCCGGTACGCTGCCTGGCCCTGCCGTGCGCGCAGGCACTTGGGGAGCACTTGGAGTGCGGGCATTAACCTTTCTCCACCAGGGCCGGTGTCGTATATATATTATATATCACACCGGGGATCCCCTGATCGCCGGCCTCTGAAGTCTGCGGATGGTCGCGGTGCTGCAGCCCCGCCCGCGCGAGACACCGCTGCGCGCTGGCGGCGCCACGGTGGCGGCGAGGACCGGAGGCCGAGAGAAGGCGCGAAGGTAAGGTAAGGTAAGGTAGATTTCTCCACACACACAAAGTGGTGGGGCAAGGGGGGGCGACCCTCGCATCTCCACGCCCGGACACGGGCAGGAGCCCCACGGCATTCAAAGTGCAGGCACTGGCCCGGTGCACGTGGGTGAGCAGCCTGCCCCTCCCCCTCCCGACAAACCAACTCCCGCACACACACAATCGCACTCTGGCCATCGAATGACTCCGAATGACTCGCTGTGTGTGCTAAGACAGAATCTCCGCAGACATCCAAAACGGGCCGTGCCGCGTTTGTGGTGTCTTCTCAAGCACTAGCATCCGGACGCCGCACTCGAGCGGGCGGGTCACATCTATGTGGGCCCAGTGTGCGCACTCGGCGCATATGCTAGTGCTATCCTGCCCTATGGGAGGCAGAGGGATGGGGGGAGGGGGGGGCAGAGGTAAGGTGGGGTGAGACTGGGGAGGGCCTCAAAGGTCCTCCATGGGGGTGGGGTCCGGCCCGAACAGGTCGAAGCCGGTCCCGCCATCGCCGCCGGCGCCGTCGCCCTCGTCCGCCTCGGAGGCGGAGGTCGTCGAGCGGGGCGTCTCGCCCGTCGCGAACCTGCCGCCGAACACGGCGTCGGCCGGCGCCGAGGCGCCGGCAGCGACCTTGGTCGCCACGGAGCCCAGAGGGACCGTGGCGTACACACCAGGTCGCCGAACCCGCTGCCCCCCTCGGGAGGCAGCGAGTAGGCGACCTGAATATTGGACCCCGCTGGGTTGCGCGCCGCCTGCGTCGCAGCCTCCAGGCCGTCCATGACGAACTCGACGTTCTCGCGCAGCTGCGCGTGCGGGCAGTCCGCACGCTCAGCCTCGCTCGCAGCCGCCGCCGCAGCCTTCTCCGCCTTGTTCGCCTTCTGCCGGGCCTTTTTGGCCCTGCGAGCCGCGGCCCGAGCATCCTTCTGCTCCTCCGTCAGCTCCTCCTTCCGCGGCGCGGTGCGCTCGACGAACGAGCGCTCCGCCGCCTGCACCGGCTCGCGGTCGCCCGCGGCCTTCTCGTGCTTCAGGTCGAAGGTCGCCGTCCCGTAGCCAGGGACCTCATACCTGAGCTGCGACACACCTGCAAGCCTTGCGGCAATGAGGCACGCGAAGGCGAAGCCGCGCGCGAACCGTGTGGCGGTGCCGACTCTGCAACAGTTTCGGAAATTATGTGCGCATATACATATCACCATCAGCGACGATCAGGCTTTCTCACCGCACACCTCGGGGAGGCGCTAGCGCCGCGGCGCCCCCCGCAGCTCGCGGTTGCTGCTTGCTCTCTCCCTCGTCTCCCCCCCCCACTCACTAGAGCCGTGCCCAGCGTACGCCTACACACACGGTCTCTCTGGGCCAGCAGCAGCACTCTCGTCGAAGACTTGAGTCTCGAATCTCTCGTGGTCATGTCTCACATAAAGCCGTGTACGATTACGGCTCTACGTCATACAAGTTACCGGCACCAACTTGATTCCTAGATCGGCGTCTCACGGCCGGGCCGCGGGACGGGGAGGGAGGGGGGTGGATCCGTAAATCCGTAAATCCGTAAATTTGTAACCAAAAGCCACCAGAGAGTCCCCCACCCCACACCCAGCTACCAGGCAGGCAGAGACACAGCACTCGCGACACGCTGAGAAGACGAAGGCTGGCCTCTCTAATGCTCCCGCAACGCGCTGTCTGCACGCGCAGCAGACGGGCGGCCCACACGGTGGGAGGGGTCAGCGAGACTCAGCGCCGGCTGCGCTTCTTGGTCGGGGCCGGCGCAGGCGCAGCGAGGTGCTTGGATAGTGCCGCCTTCCCTTTTGGAAGCACTTTGGGCAGCACCAGGGGAAGCTCTTGTGCTGGTCTCGACATCGGCGCGGTCCGCCACCTACGCAGGCGAAGCTGTTGGCCCGGAGAAGGCGTCGCGAGAAGGCATCGCCGCCACCCGCCGCTCAAACTTGACCACCTCCTCCTTCGCGTTGGACAGGTTCTCGGGCGGCTCCCACGTCATGTCCGGAGTTTGGTCCCACTCGTCCCACTTGACTACATATTGCACAACGATGCCCTTGCGCGCCACGCGAGCCTCCCTCTTGGCGACCTCCTCGCCATCCGCCTCGGTCTCCGCCTCGCTATCCCCCGCCTCGCTCTCCTCCGCCTCGCTCTCCTCGGAGGAGTCTGGCCACGCAGCCCGGCGATCGACGGCGGGCGCGTCGCCGCAAGTCTTTGTTCACGCCGAAAAGTACGTCTAACGCTCCCGCTAGCTGGGGCACGCTCCCAGGCGGCTGGGGGCCGCTCCCCAGCTCGATTAGGGCGCTTTTCACGCGATTTTACGGAATTACGGATTGGAGGGGGGTGGCGGCACATAGGGGGAGGGGGAGACGCCGATCTAGGAATCAAGTTGGTGCCGGTTACAACGTGGCGCTCGTGAGTCGTGTCACACGACACCGTATTATCTCACTATTTTCGTTTTGGCGATCGCGAAACATGAAAACTCGCCCCGATGTTGAGGCTAAACTGCTCCGCTCACTCTCGACACGCACACGATGACAGTATGAGTATGTTAACTTTGCGCTTCTCGCGGCGGCCCGAAGCGCCTTTGTCCTTTGTGCCACGCCACCCGCCGGACACACGGTGACCCGCACACACATCTCGCAGAGCGGCCACGCGGAAAAGCGTGTGTGGCCACTCCGTCGTCAGGTGTGTGCGATTGCCTCGGGATGGCGCGGCGAGGCCGCGCCTCAAGCGGCCGAGCGGTACGCGTCCAAGTCTGCGTCCAAGTCCTCCGCCTGGTGACCATCCCGGAACGAGACTTGAGGCGAGATTGGCCGAGACTGGCCGAGACTGGCCGAGATCGCTCCGCCCGACGCGCAAGGGGAGGCTCTCCCTCCCTCCTCCCGGGGCTGGGCAAAGGGCCCTCGCCGCTCTCTCGGAGGCTCTCTCGAAAGCGCGCCTTCGGTGTCGGCCCGCGCCCCTGCCCGCGCCCGCCGCGCCCTCCCTTGCCGCGCCCTCCCTTGCCGCCCTTGCCGCCGCGTGCGGAGCCTACGTCGCGAAGACGCCGCCGTCACTCGGCCTGCGCAAGCACACACGCCACGAGGACAGCGGATGCGCGGCGGAGCTGTGGCGGGAGACGCAGCCAGACACCGCCGTGCACGCGTCTCCGGGAGGGGTGAGGAGTGCTACCGCTGCCGAGGTGCCGAGGTGCCAAAGTGCCACGTTGCTAGAGCCGCGTCGCCGCACGGGTGGCATCTAGAGGCGTCGCCGCGCGGCTTGACGCTCTGCGGCTTGAAGCTCTCGTAGCCGTCGCTCGACCCTTTGGCCTTGACCACCTGGCGGAAGGCGCACCCCCGCCTCGCGGGTCACCCCCACCCACCCCCTCCTACCCTTCCCCCACCCCCTCCTACCCTTCCCCCACCCCCTCCTACCCTTCCCCCACCCCCTCCTACCCTTCCCCCACCCCCTCCTACCCTTCCCCCACCCCCTCCTACCCCACCCCCTCCAGTGCGCTGCCCAACGCTGCACACCACGGGGCGCGGCAAGTCCAAGCACACGTGTCGAGGACGGGTCTGGGACGGGTCTGGGACGGGTCTGGGACGTGTCTGGGACTCGTCGGCGCACCACTGTCCGCTGCTTGGCGCCCGCAACCGCGACCGCTATGCTCGAGGCGACGGCGGTGGCGCCGGCCGAGGGGGAGCCTGAGGTGGGCGGGGAGGGATACGCATGTGTGTGTGGTCCCGCAGGGGAAGGGGGGGGATTGAAGCGGGCGGGGTGGGGGAAGGGGCGGGGGGGGGATCTCGGGGCTGATCTCGGCTGATCTCGCGGCACCGGTGGCGAGGCTGATCTGCAGCGGGCGGCCGTCGAGGGGGACGCCGTTGTACTGCTCGATGGCCTGAGGGGGGGGTGGGTGAGGGGCGGTGGCGAGGGGCGGTGGCGACGGAGTAGGAGAGGGAGGAGAGGGGCGGGGCCGGTGCGTGCGTGCGCGCGTGCGTGCGTGAGTGCGTGCGTGTGCGTGCGCGTATGTGTGTGTGTGTGTGGTGGTGGTGGTGTGTGTGGGGGGGGGAGGTCGACAATCGAGGAGAGGAGTAGGAAGGGAAGGGGGGGGGGGAGGGAGGGGGGGGGGGGGTTCAACCCCCTGGGGGGGCCTCCCTTTTTGGGGGTGACAAAAAAAACCAAACCTTCGGGAGGGTCCGAGGAAGGTTTCCGCTCCCACAAGGGTCCCGGTATTTCTCGGCTATCTCCCGGGG